TTTTTTTCCCCCCCCCCAGCCGCAAAAATATTTCAGTTTTTTTTTTTTTTTTTTTTTTACATTTTTTACAGTGTGGAAATGTTTTCCCATGCTTGTCTGTGGAGAAATATAACATTTATGGTTCAGTTAACCTGCTGTGCACTGACTGAAGCTATCCAGGTTAGACTAGCAATTAGCAAATTTTCTGGTTAAACATTGTTTCTGTTATCCTATAATTACAAACAAATTACACAGTCCTTCCAAAAAAAAAGCAAAAAAAAAAAAAAAACTTGCCAGAGGAGGATAAAAATCTTCTTTACTGTGCAACACAAAAAATATTTCGTTCCAGTAGGATTGAGAAACATCTGAGGAATCTGGGAGTGTCATTATGACAAAGAAAGTGTTGTCAGTTCTCTTTTCAAACCTGCAGCATCTATGGTAAAAACACAGTTGAACCTCTAACACGTGTAACCATCAATGCAGGAGTCTCCAATCTCAGTTATATGTCTGCATGAGAGTTCCCACTGACAGAAAAGCTCAATATGCTGTATACTACGAACAGAACTGTATAGAGACAGATATTCCACAGAGACATAACCTTTGTATAATCTCTGTAATGACTGTTTGCTGATGTCTCAGATAATGAAGGCTGAAATATTGCATGCTAGATGTCCATTCACTGTATATACTGTACATGTGATCATGTTACGTGAATTTATTTGTCCCTGTGCTCATAGAGTAGCTAAACATACAGCGAGTGCTGCAGGTGTGGATGCCCTGTACTTGTCAGAGTTATGGCAACACGTGTATGTGGTACTGCCGTGTCGCACTGACCAGCACAATAAAGAGATCGATTGCTGCCTGGTATTGCTGCAGACAGAGTTTACACTGTTGCTCCCAATTCAATTTGTGTTACACAGTGTAATGAATACAGCCTGGAGAGGTGTATGGAGAAAGCTGATCTCAGCTCAGTACAGCTGCAGGGCCTGTTAATGACACTTGGGTCCCATAAGATCAAAGCTACAGTACAGTGCCGTCTGGCTGAAGCAACACTGCTCAGGTGGTCTGAGACTCAACCAGTCGCCACTGTAGTTCACAGTGGCTATTAGTGTGAACAACATCAGACATTTGTCATCGCAGTTAACTCTCTGTTACACTATGTGTTGTTAAAGTGGGTAGCAAAATGCTTTCTGAGTATGAAACAGTCACCAACTGCAGAACTGAAATAATAATAAATAAATGTTTGTTTCCTTCTTAATGGAGAAACTTAAATGGAGCGTACCATCAGATTTAATTTAGATGCAGCAATAACATCACATTTCAATTGTCCTGTTCATCAGCTGTTTCACCATGAACATGTCTTGTCTCTGTTATTTCTGCCAGTGGATTTTGCTTTCACAGCTTTATCCTCCACCCCTCCAAGTTTTATCTGCCACATACACTGAGGCACGCTCCTAAGAATACAAAGGTAGTGTAAAGCCATGTGGAGCCAGTCCCAGCAGGGCAAGATGCCGTGTACACCCTGAAGAGGCACCAGTCTATCACAGGGCTGACACATAGCGGCAAGCAAACACTCACATTCACACCTAGGGGCAATTTAGAGTCGCCAGTCAGCCTAACATGCATATCTTTGGACTGCGGCAGGAACCCAGAGTACCGGCCGGAGAAAACCCATGCAGGCACACAAGCACATGCAAACTCCATACAGAAAGCTTCGAACCCGGAACTTTCCTGCTGTGAGGCGACAGTGTTAACCACTGCTCCACCATGCCACCAAGAGAAAGTCACTTTTATCTGTCACTGCAAATCATAAGCATTTGATAGCTGATGGTCTATACTTAGTTTTTCAGAAACATTTCACATATTGAATTTACATCAGTTTACTTATATACTTTATTAAATACAAATATTTCTAAAACTAACTCATTTGATTTACTGTATAAACTGTATGGGGGTTTCAATCTCACTAAAAGTCGAGCTGGAAAAATTATTTTTTGATATACTGACAGATCAGGGCAAAAGAACGCTTGGTAAACATTTGATAATATATTGGTCATTTGATGCCAAAAATAATGAACATCTGGACACACACACATACACAATGTGGAAAGAAAAAGAAAGAGTGGAAAGGAAAAATATGTGAACACTCTGGAATTGACTGGTTTCCTTCATAAAGTCATCAGGAAATGTGATCGGATCTAAGTCACAAACAATTATAATCTCTCCTTGTTTTATTAAATATATCCATTAAACATTCATGGAAAAAGTAGGTGGACCTTTAGATTTAATAACTGTTTGAGCCTCCTTTGGCAGCAATAGCCCCAAAACAAGCTCTTCCAGTAACTGTGGCTTAATGTTCAGGAGGAATTTTGGACCACTCTTCCTCCCAGAGCAGCTTCAGCTCAGCCACACAGCATCTCCACTGAGATAAGGCCTGGGCTCTGACTGGGATGCTCCAAAAGGTGGATTTTCTGTTTTTGAAATCATTCTGATATTTAGGACCATTGTCTTGCTGCATCGCCCAGTTTCTACTAAGCTTCAGCTGACAGCCACCCTGACATCATCCTGTATGACTCCCTAACAAGCCTGGGAATTTGTTTTCCCCTCAATGATGGCAAACTGTCCAGGCCCAGAGGCAACAAAGCAGCTCCAAATCACTATGCTCCCACTGCTGGGATGATGTTTCCATGCTGGTATGCAGTGCCCTTTTTACACCATATGCAGCGCTGCATGTTTTAGCCAAACAATTCGAACTTAATTTCATCAGTCTAGAAAACATTTTCTCAAGTATCAGTTCATCAAACTTCAAATGGGGATCACATGGTTCAGAAGGAGGTTTTCCCTGTTGTGTCCTGCTCCATGATTTGCATAAGGTAAAGTCATGAACCAGCTCCATGTCCTCAGCTTTGGGGTTCACATGCTTTTTCAACTGTTAATGCTCATGGGTGATGCATTAAATATAGATAATATAAACAAGAGCAATACAATAATTTGTGTTTTATCTGTAGCTGTTATTTGTAGGACCTACACACACACACATATATATAATTCATATTTTATCAGTCATGTCATCGATTTCTGAATTCCTTCCACATGACTCCCTGTGCAGCGAGTCTGGGAGAATGTGAGGATGTTTGCTCAGATCTAAACATTTTTTTTAAAAGCATCACGAGGCATGTATACTGTATTTTCCAAGCGTGATGCACACTGGATACTTTGTAATCAGAAAAGCTTTAAATAAGTGAGTGACAGGATTACTGATTGCATGATAAGCTCTAAGTCTGTTCCACTCGGATTCATATGATGAGCGATCTTACCTCTAGATGTCAGACTGCGTTTTAAAACAGTAGTTGCACAATCCAGAACGTGCGTTCACTCATACCACATGATCCATATTTACAAATTATAAATTTAATTTGTCAAAACTAAACAAACAAAAACTACACACAAAAACAACAGCAACATAAGCAATAAGACAGTAGTGAGTGATGTGTATAAAAGCATAAGAAGATGGCTTGTAAAAAAAAAGTATTACTGGAGCATTCACTGTTAAAACAAAACAGAAAGCAGAGGGTAATTTGAGAGAAATGCGAGGAGATCCTTAGAAAACACTGGAGAACAACAAGCTTGCCCTCCCGGAGAGAATTTAGCCAAACCAATATTATTGGATTTTTGTTTTGTTTTGCTTTGCACCCCTGCTCAAAACAGTTTTATTCAAGTCAGACAGTCTCCTGGAACAATGATGCTAATCATGTACAGTATTTTGGAGCTGTCCCTCTGTGTGACTGAAATTCACTGTAAATAGTCCCTCACTGGTGCAGTTCACTTTCTTACATGATGAAAATGTGTGTTTTTTGCACAAGTTGAGTTCACAAACTGCCTGAAAGCACTTAAATCAAAGACAGCAATGACAGCCCCGGTACAAGACCATTTGAACTTGTTTCTGTGGCTGTGCTGGCCATTTTCTTTGTTAAGGATATTACCAATGCATCCCAATCCACAATGAGTGGAGAAAGAGGGAATAATACCTTACTGGTGGCTTACAAGACATTTCTCACAAAGAACCAGCTGAAAAGGAAAAAACCTAGCACTGATGAAGAGTCTGACCTGGTGCACAGGATTTACTGTATGTAATGGAGAGGATTACTACATCCAGAACAGCCTGCAGTGTCATTCTTTAGGCTCCCACTTTGTGTATATACATTACCTACTTTTTCCAGTGCTTAAAAGGTCCTTGTGTTCACATCATGTTAGTTTTGTTTATGTAGTTTTTGTTCACTCTCTGCTTAAAACTGCTTAAACGAAACCCATTAAGCAAAGTAAATGAAGTTTCTCTATATCATGACAAAATGTATTTATTTAGTTTGAATCCTCAGTGAGTTTAGTTACATTTCAGGGAATGTAATATCAAACAAGTGAATTAAATATTAAATTTTAAATAAAATAAAAAAACTATTTTTGGCAATGATATTAACTAAAGACTCCAGAGTATGTTTGAGCTGAGCTGAAGTAAAGAAAAGAAAACGGACAGAGGTTTTGAGCAGATGATGATCCTCTTAAACCCTACCACCCTAACACATCCACACACACTCCTCTCAGTGATGGCTGCAGTGATTACATTCCTGACCCTCCCAGTTGCCTCTGATTCTGTCATATCCTCGCATCATGTGTTGGAGAGATAGCTCTCTCTCGTGCAACAGGTCAAATTAGAATTTCATTCCACAGGCACCACCAACCCTAACGTCCACTCAGTCATCACAACTCTGAATCTGCAGACAAACTTGCACA